TGCCCCCCCCCCCCCCCGCCCTCCCCCGCTACTTCCCCTCCTCGCGTTAAGACGCCCCCTCCTGTACAAAGGGGTAGCGAGGAGAGAGAGACAGAGAGAGACAGAGAGACAGAGAGAGACAGAGAGATAGAGAGAGGAAGAGGGAAATTTGAAGTAGACTGGCTGCCCTGGTCGGAGGATAAACACAGCCTTGCGTGCTGCCCTCCAGCTGTACAGCTTTCGGTACTTTTGGACGCACCATGTAGCCTGGGCGTCATCCGCAACAGGAAGGACGTCCCCACAGTGGACCTTCACTTCGTCTCTACGTTCCTTACCTTCCTCCTGCGGAACATGCATTCATGTCATGTTTTTTTTTCTCGCGAGAAGGATTCATCCGCCCTCCCGCTCTTCCTGTCGACCGTGACTTCGAACTTCGCCTATCCACGATTCGCAATCGTGATGCACACAGATCAAATTCTGCAGAGGTTGCGCGGAGATCGCCCTCGCTAACGTCCAAAAACGTCAGGTAAAGGAGGTTTCCAACTGAGCGACCCGGCGGGGCGCCCGAGGATGTTTTGTTGTTGTTGTTATCTTCACATGAAATAACGTTCCGGTCTTTCCATCCAGTTCCTCCAGCTGTCCGTACTGATCAAACACTTGACGCGATGGATTCTCATGGTCACTGGCTAACTTGGGTTTGAGTTTTAGTCGGCCAATTACTGTCGTCTGTTGTGGCTAGCAGTTGCCGGCGGCCAACCTCATGCGTTTATGATTTGTTCTTCCACAAAAACAAGCTGTTCGATTCCGGCTGGGAAGGAAGGAATTGTATGTGCTCATCATTCTCTGGGGTGCATTGTTCGCTTCGAAGCTGAAGGCACCCACCGACAAGGCCTCCTCTCATTTTTATTGCCCCCGTTCGAAGCGCACCTACGGTACGCTTGCCTCTGATTTTCGCACGTATGCATCCATCCACGCACACATCTCCTATTGCCAGCCAGGCACAATACACAAAAGAGGACACGAAGGTAAAGGAGCCACGAAAAGGCCCCCAAAGAAAACGTGAACTGAGCTACATCGATATCTGAAGCTATCCCAACCGATCCGCCCAAGAGCGAGAAACGGCATCAAGATCTACATGTTTAAGTTCCTTCACACACGCAAGAAGAAAAGAACAGCCAGTGTTATGCATAGAAGATGTACAACATATCTTCAAGCTCTATTGTATGGTGTACGACTGGCAACCTTTGCCCGCAACAAAACGCATCTGTCGAGTCCCGGCGGGAACACTCGTCTATCCACCAACAAAACAACACAATTGGCTATGTACAGACAGATGTGAAGACCCGGGCCATCCACCCTCCGGCTTCCAAGCTCATGGCTCCGCCAAGTCAAAAAGAAGAGGGTCCACCTGGTGTGGCGGCGCCCCTCGGCTCTCCCGGCCCTCTACCACCCCAGCCCGTCCCCCAGGCAACGCAGCCGCTGCTGCTGATGCAGCTGGAGGGCGGAACCTCCCGAAGCAGTGCTTGAGCGGGCTGCGGTAAGAGTTCTCGTGTACGACGCTTCCGGAGTAGGTCCGACATCGGAAGGCGCAGTGGGCGAAGGCCATTTCTCGCGCGTCGCGTTCTTCTGCTTCCTCTTGGCTTTTTTCAACTCCTGCTTCCGCTGCCGCATGCGAAGCCTGGAGCTGACGCGGGGGTGGCAGTTCTCTCCTGTTCGACGCGTCGTTATTACCGGGCCCTAGGAGGTCGCGATAGGCCGGGTGTCCCGAGAGCGCGGCTGACGCCTGAATGGCCTCCCGCTCCTTCCCCCGCTGGGGGTTCTGGCAGCAAGACACGCAAAACTCATACGAGCTGCAACATGACGAGAAAAAAGAGCTGTCGTTTCCACCGCCGTTGTTCCCGGAGGGGCCGTCTTCTCCCACGTCGCAGCTCCAGCACGAGAATGGCGTCGACAGGGCCTCTTCCGGTGGAAAGCCCCCCGCGCCGCCGCCGCCGCCGCCGCCGCCGCCGCCGTGCGCCAGCTCCCCCAGCTCCACCAGCTCCACGCTCACGCCTCCCTCTACCCCGCGGCGGGTCTCTGTTCTTGTCGTCGCCGGGCCGGAATGTGGTGCCGCGGGAGGATGCTTGTGCTTGTCGTCAGTCGCAGGAGGAGAACTGACGGCGAGATCGCCGCCGCCGCCGCCGCCACCGTCGCGCGGCGGCAGCAGCGGTAGCGCTGGTGGGCGCGGGGCGCAACACCCCGGGCGGTGGCGGACATCATCATCGTCGCCTTCCTCTACTATTAGCTCCGCACGGTGACACACCCTCCCTTCTGAGTCCGCCACGAGCGTAGCCCCTTGAACGGTGTTGCGACACCGGTAGGGATTACTACTGTTCTCTCGCCCCTCCCCTCCCCGTATCTCGCCCCCGCCGCCGCCATCACCTAGCACGGCTCCCGTCACATCAACAAGGCTGCTCGCTTTCCGCGCGCCGCCGGGCAGCGCCGGGCCAGACGGCAAGCCTGACGGCCCTCGCTCGACCAGCAACACGGAAGGGATCGCGTCTGGGCCGAGACTCACGGCGGGGCGTCGGTGCTTATGGCGATCGGCATCATCATCATCATCATCATCATCATCATCATCGTTGTCGTCTCTATCAGTGGAGCCTGCGCCAGAAGAATGCAAGTATCCTGGCAGGGACGACGAGGACGGCCAGGACGAATACGACAACGACGCCCGGGCCAGCAGCCTAGCGCTCGCGAGTACCCCGGCGCCGCACGCCGCGAGCACCAGCAGGAGCAGCAGCGCTCGGCGCCGGCTTGCTCTAGAGACGGAAGAAGCCAGCAGTCGCGGGACGAGAGCCGCTAGGCCTCGGCGGTCGCCGGGCCTCCTCCGGTTACGCCTTCGCTGTCTCGCGACGGCAACGGAGGAGGTAAGCATGCGCCGGCGGGGCAAGGTCGCCGTCGCCTGACCTGCTTCTTCGTCCATCTGGTTGCTGCTCCCCCGGCGGTTGTCGAACAGCCGGAAACGAGGGGTAGCGTCCATCGCGAAAGACGGGCAACCAAGCCCTCCGTACAACCGTATCAGCCGCACTGGAGGAGGAAAGTAGAATGATAGCAGCGGATGACACTCTCGCTAATGCTCCGGCCTGGATTTCGGGCATGGGTGGGAAGAACAGGAATTTCGGCGTACAAATTTGAAAGTGCGGAGGGATAGTCTTATCACTTTACAGCAGCAGTAGATCTGATTTGTGTGCACCACCACCCGATGCAGTTGGGTCATTGGGATTCGCACGGGATGCACGGCTCGACCATACATCCACAAGCGCAGAGTGCAACCTAACCTGTTCCTCCAGCATCATCTGGCACGGCAGTCGCCCCCCCACCGTGGTGCAAATTGCACCACGTTGTCTCGTGGCGCAATAAAATGTGGGGCGGTACTACTGCTGTCCGGCGTGGTGACAATTTTCCCTACTGATCTGCACAACAAGCTCAATCCCATCAAGCGAAACCATAGGCACATGCATACGCATCGCGGGTTACCTTCATCGTGGAGGTGCACCACGCTGTGAACGACCAAGCAACAGGCAAGGGCCGAGAGACCGGCTCTGATTCCATGTTTAGGGGTCCAGCTGGGGAAGGAAATAAATTATTTCGCGCGAAGCGCGTAAAAAATAAGAGGAGGCGTGTTTTCTCAATGTTATAGAAAATAGCATTAAAGAGACACGACAGAGAAATGACGTTTCCTCGTCGCGATGCTGCTCGTTTTCCCTACGGATCTTTGCGTTAGACTCTCTGATGTGTTTGGCTTGCCGTGGTTGAGTTTGGGTTCATTTCAAGCAGTAAAATGTAAGAATAAATTCGTTGCAACAATGCTGCTGCTGCCGTTGCTGCTGCTGTGGATGTTGTGTAGACTCAAAAGGTGGCCATAGGCAACAACGATTTTGACTCCTTTAAATGTCGCGCAAGCTGCGAGTCGAAGACGCACCAGGTCTTGCAGTGGTCCCTTCGGCGAAGCGTCAAGGTGTGAGTTTAATCGGTGAATTTGGGTCGGCAAAAAGACGCTTCGTGTTGATATGTATTCACATTAAGCGCAGAGAGACAAAAGACAGACGCACCGGCCGCTCGGTTTTCCCCGTGCGTGCAGTTGGTAGAATACAGAGCCCCTGATGATGGTATGTAACACCCTCCGGTACAGGTTCGAGTTCACGGTCGACGATGGAAAGCGACGGCTGAATTCTTTTCGTGTCCGAAAGTGAAAGTAAGCACAGGGTAGAAGGAAGGTGTGAAATAAAAGACACGAAATCTCGTGTTGTGTGGCCTTCCTCCTTCATGACCCCGGCTGATCATGCATCCAGAAAAAGCATACCGGAACGTGTAAAAAACACACTGAACTCCAGAATAAACGGGACGACGGAAACAAACAAACACGTTCATCTAGACAGAGCAGAAACAGAACAAGAACACCATTCGCTTACCCTGAGAAATGACAGTCGTCACACGCAGCAAATCCTTGCCTACAAACAATCTAACCACATGACTACAAAACAAAATGTGGTACGTTTTTCTCTCGTTGCGCCTTCCGCGGCTGCTTGCCACCGTTGCCCCCCCTTCCCCCCATCAGCATCAGCATCCACGCACCAGCAGCTGGCGCAGCACGGACGGCGGTGGCCATAAGCCCCCCCACTGACTCAGTCCCCCCCCGTGTCTTCATCCCACACCTCGCTCCCTCCCCCTGCTCCCTCCCCCCGTCAGGCCAGCCTTCCAGAAAAATGCGACGCCCATTAGAACAGAAGACCAGGCTGCATCTCTTCTTCAACCGAGCCCTCGCACGCAGCCCCGTCCCCGGGTTGTCGAAGGTCGAAACGGAGAGCGTTGTTCCCGCTGGTGCTGGTGAAAGTCCTCCCATTTGTTCCCCTGCCGTCAGCAGCGCCAGGTCGTCTCCGCAGTTGCGCTCCTCGCCCTGGTGTGGACCCTCGATTCTGGCATTGTTTCGCCCATCCCTGCCGTGAAAGCGTCAGGTGCGACAGCAGCGTTTGGCCGCTGTCATCATTACTTTCGTCCACACGAACACACAACGCCTCATCATCGTGGAAACTTCATGTACCCTCAGCCTCTACCCCCCATAAGCTCCTGGCGAGCCAACCCCTCTCGCTAGTGCCTACATGTACTGAGTCGATGGCGGCCGGCCACTCTGGGGGGACGGGGCAACTCGACTCCCAGTCCCCATGGCCCGCTGGATCAGCTTCCCACGATAATTGTTGTAGTGTCCTCCCAGCGCTGCGGGCAAGCCACGGTTCTTGACCATCATCCTCAGGTTCCACCCGAGGTTGAACTCCAGCAACATCGAGTGCGCTAGTGCTGGAGATGCACAGAAGCAGGCCAGCAGGGTGCGCGGTGACTGAACTTTTGTATCAAGCGAACAACGGTTGGGACGCGACAAGAAAAGGGGGATGTAGCCATGAATTAAAACCCTTCAAAACCCTTACTGGTGCAGCTGACGGGGATGCCTTTCGTGGGCACAAGCCGGCAGGCCTACAAACGATGCAGTTAGAAAACCTGAAGAGCAAACAAGAGGCCGCGAAACACCAACACCGACGCAATCACAAAAGTTCTAGAAATCATGGTCCCAGGCAGCAGCCAGACGTCACAGGCGACGTGCTGGGCAAGGGTCATAGGGGCTGGAAAGGGGCTTCGCGTTATCGGGGTCCCGACCTGAAACGATACGTCAGTGACGAACATCATGGAGTTCCGACACGGTAATGTAGACATGCTCAAATCTGTTGATCTTACCTAGGGCTGTGCTTTTTCAAGTTGCCACTGCGTTCCAAAAGTCTGGGAATCGGAACTATCTTTTTCAAACAGCGCTCTTCGTCACACAGCCTCCTGAAGTGCGGATCTACTGCTGTTGTCTACAGCAGCAGCAGCTCATGTCACAAAATGCGCTGCTGCTCCTTGGGCTCGTCGTCGCGACAACAGTGAATTCTCCGATGCCCCAACCCCAGCGACAGACCCAAGCGCACCAGCACACACGTCGCTACAGCATACTACATGGTTAATTGATAATGTAGCATCTCAGGTTAGGACTGCGACGCCAACATATCTAGATGTTGTATGCATGCCGCAGGTTGCATAAGATATCACACCCCCTGGATCGATTTTTGGAGCTCGATATCTCCACAGGAAAAACAGTGACAGTGCCGAAAATGGCGGCGTCGGAGCCGACTCGTCGGGCGACTCGTCCGGAGCTTTCCGAAAACGTACACTTCATCTCCGGCATCCTATTCGTCGTGGAGTAATAGAGCTTTGGAAATCGGTCCAGGGGGTGTGCTATCTTGTGCAACCTACGGTATGTGCCCACCACAGCAGTACAGTCGACCCCGCTTCAAGGATGCTCGCGTTAAGGAAACTCCCCGCGTAGAAGAAACTTGTATTGCTGAGCACCGGGGTCCAGGCAGAATATACGATAATGGGGTTACCTATATTTTCTCTGCCGCGTACCCCCCTTTTTTGTATGTCCTGCGGGCCTGCGGGCCGCTCTTTGCACGAACCACGCACCACAGTGAGTGCAGAAGTAGCGACGCACAGACAGCACAGGTAGCGAGCGGTCTGCTGCTGCAGCTTCAACTGGGTGTTGGAATGGATAGATTCCTCCCATCTACCGGCGGTCCATCTGATGCCGCCAAAAAAAGAGTCGTGCATAACCTCGTCCCTCACCAAGGACGAGGTTACCTCTCGCTTGGAGGACGTTCGATCCTACAGATAGCGCCCGCAGTTCAGAAACGTCAAACTCGCTTCGAGCCTCACCAATCCCTTCTTTTGGGTTGAAGTACCGGCCCAAGTCGTCCATTTCGTAAATGGCATTTCTTCTTCCTTTGGACTGTCGCATCCTCCCGACTCTCTTATTCGTTAGACAACAGCAAGTACTTCGTATTTTCTTTTGATGTCTTTTGATCTCTGAGGACAATCCACATCATCAAGCCCTCAAGAGAGGTGGTGGAGAGTGCCGTCAAACCCGTATAACAGCGGAGAGCATATGGTTGTCCGCGATGTGTGGCAGTACTACAGTACAGCACTCACTTGTGACCAGCAGGGGCGCGGGGGGGCGGGGCGGGGGGGGGGG